GATGTCCCTAATATGTTCACTGTCTGAAGATAAACTAGTGTAACTTTGATGCCGATTTAATCTTTAACAATGGTACAGATCAGGAGATATTCAGCTATGTGAAAGATTAATTGAAGATGAGTGACAAGGTAATGTGATTAAACTTTTTATTATATTTTTCTCACATGCATAAAAGAGATATCTTTTTGGAACATTAAATTCGTAAAACTATCAAATTCAGCTATAATGGATACTATTAATCCTGAATAAGGCCACGATATGCTGATTGTGTCCGGCAGTTAAAACAACTCTATTGTTAAATATTTTTCATCGCAATCTATATATTAAAACAAACAAAAATGTCCGTGATAACAGATAATATATTAAACTCAAGCGCTTGGACACAACTTATATTTGGACAAACTTTAATTCTTATCCACTTTCTGTCCCAAAAAGAAATCTCATGTACGTATATAATAAAGCACATATATATAATAGAATAGCTTAATTCAGACATCTTCAGTGAAACCTGTATACAAGTGGGATTGCTCTTCAAGTGGTATATTATATATATATATATATATATATATATATATATATATATATATATATATATATATATATATACAGCTAAACCTAGAGAGCAAGACAAACCTGCCAAGGTTTAACCTAAGCGGATCTTCAGGAAAGGCTCTACTCATTGTTTTGAGCACTTTATTTAGTTGTTTTGGGTACTCGCATAGTTTATGAAAAACTAGTTAATCCGTATGGGTAGACTCCAGGAGGATAAAATCCGGAGAACTCAATGTAAATCCAGAGCAAATAATTTAAATAAAAACAGACCACTTTAAAGTTCCATGTAATAAATTATTTCATCACAGCCCTTTTAAAGGACTGCGGATCATCAGACTTTTTTTTTTATTTAATATATATATATATATATATATATATATATATATATATATATATATTATATATATATATATATATATATATATATATATATATATAAGTGAGCTTCAAGCCAGCACTCAACAGCGTACAGGTATCTGCTATGATGGGAACTATCTCGCTGATATAGCTAGAAATAGTGGTTCCTGTGTGCTATAGCAGGAGAACATGGAGAAGTCGGAGTCTTAACCTGGTATTACTGAGAAGGAATGTAAGCATCTATACTGGATTTAACCCAAGAAGAAACCTCTGTTGCGCAACCCTCGGTATGGAGTTTAAAAATGTCAATCAAAATGGCGTCTTGAAAATGTTGAAATGCTGGTAACGGATTGAGGTCTTATGAATAGGAGGTTTATGTCTAATGAGTGGAAGGTGATATCTATAGATACTATAGAGTGACCCGAGTTGTTAAGATGACAGTGTTGCAAAGCTTGGCAAAAGCTAAAGGGGGAGGTCAGAAATAAATCAAATGAGGAAGCCTGTTGCTCATGTTTCCTAGTGATACGATTAGGGAAATCCGTGATTTGATTAAGGGGCTGAGCAATGGAGGAGTTGAAAATCTGAATGCCGGCAGCATCAGTAACATTTCAGTGTTTAAGCTACGTGTCATGATGCGCATTAAAATCACCAAACACAATGTTCGTAATTAATACTTCCTTCGAAAAGTCCACATTATTATTATTATTATTATTATTATTATTATTTCCTTTGATTTTTAGTGTTCAAATTTCGTTCCGTTTCCCGCCCAGAGATCTAAGGTGAGGGATGGCATCATGATATTTTCTACTGAACAATTAAAACAAACAAACATATTTTACATAGATAAATCCCTCTGAAAAGTGTGGACTGTACTCGTGAGAACAAATTTTGTATTTCTTTCAGGCATAGGCTTCCAGCGATCCCTTCAATTAGTCTACTGGAATCTTTTTCAACAAATCCTAGGGCACCAACTACAAAAGTGATAGTTGATGTTTCCTCGTGCCACATTTTTGTGATTTCGATTTCACGGTCCTTACATTTTGATAGCTTTATGAAGATCTTCAAAGACACATTGCAGTCCGCAGGGAGTGCTATATCAGTAAGGAGACACACGGACTCTAATAACAATGTCTGGGCGGTTATCTTTGATTCTTCTGTCTGTGTGTATTGTGTAGTCTCATAAAATTGTTACAGGTCCTATCTCCGTAAACGGGTCTGGGTGGTGTTCATACCAATTTCTTTCAGTTTCCTTCCCGTAGAAATTGCATATTTTCCAGTTCAGATATTGGCCAACTCTCTCATGCCGAGTTTACATTCCGTGGGTGCCAATACCGTGCAACCTGAAACAAAATGATCAATTAATATTATTATTATTGTCATTATTATTATTATTATTATTATCCCATTTCATCATAGTTTCAAACATGTAAAATCGCCTGTTCTATTTAGCTGATCAGCTTGTTGGTACATGCCACCTTAAATGTTCAGCCAATATGTCGGTGTCCTCGCTGTTCCTTGAATAGTGTGTTTTCTTCTTTGAGAATTCTGAAGAAAATATTTGGACACTTTTTATGAAGCCACTTATCAAACCTTTTTCTTATTATCATGATTACAAATTTTATTCAAGTCAAATTCGATATTCCACGTATTGAGAAGAATTTAAATCCACGCACACAGACGCGTAAATAATTTGATGGGAAAAGACAATTATGCTTTTCCTCTTTGGAAAATTTATTAATGGCATTTTTTTATGCTGTATTGGTCACCAGTCATATCGAATGAATTCAGTAAAAAATGATTTTCAAAATTTTAAACATGAGACATCATCAGAATACGATGATATAATAAAAGATGTTATGTAGAATTGCCACTAAATTAGTTTCGAAAATAATTGTGTGAAAATACACAAGTGCAATGGTGTGTTTTATGTGTTACCAGAAATTGAGTAATTAAGCTTTATCATTTCAATAGAGAAGACATTAAACATGGGAGCGATATCAACTCATCTATGTGATATCTTTTTTTTTTCTTTCTTTCTTTCTTTCTTTCTTTCACTGAAACCGGATGGCGTCTCTGATATGACTTTTCCACGCAACGAAAACGAATTAATCCATTTTATGTAAGATATTGTTACGGTGTAACGTAGTTGTAACTAATTATAGCACGTCAAAACCGAAGGAGAAATAATAATAATAATAATAATAATAATAATAATAATAATAATAATAAAAACCAGAAAAAAAAACTAAATTGATATGGTTTGTCCAGCGGATTGTAATTTTGTATCAAAATACAAAGACCTGGTATTATTTCAAGAATAATACCAGTAATAACTTATAAAAATGGAACAAAACAACATCTTGAAAAATCCCTAAACCCCAGCTTTTGTCTTATTAAGTACAGCAACACACACTTTTGAACGCTAGCAACTTTTAAAAAAAAAAAAAAAAAAAATTAACATGAAATGTGGCCATAACAACACACCACGACCTGTTTAAACTTGGTAGGTAGTGTGTCCAAGAAAATCGAATGATGATTTGATAATAATTATAATTGTTCTTTTATCTTACAACCATCTTCAATTCTATTTTACAGAATACTTTTGATCTTTTAATTTGCAGTTTAAACAAATTATTTAAAAGGATTATTTATCTATTATAACGGATTTATTATTATTATTATTATTATTATTAGTAGTAGTAGTAGTAGTAGTAGTATGAATAATTAAAAACATGAGAAATAGTGGATGTCATATTTCCGCGAATCCACAGAATTGGCAGAGAATTGAAAGCGACAGATGTATAAACAGTTATGGGGGCGTTTGAGCCAAATAAAAAGACTGACTGAACTAGAAATTACGAGACGAATTGAAGCCACTAAGCCGAGTGCATTATGGGAAACAGTCAAAAATATTAAGAAAACTTGCTATCTCTCAATTTCAAATGTTTGCTATTTGTTAGTAATCGTTTAAATACTGCTATCGATTCGAAGGAAAGCTAAAAATGCTGGTGACGGTAAGTTTTGAATTATTGGATTAGTGAAGAGACGTGCTATCACTTGATCTTCAGCGTAAATAAAGTAAATAATTAAAACATTTGGGACGGCTGTATCAATATTGACTACACCATCTAATCAAAAAGAAAATAATCGTACGAACGTAAAGTGTAAAGATATATGGGAAAGTGGATTACATTGAAAGAAATCGACAAATTTACCAGGATCTTTACATTATGAATAGGATTGTTTATAAAATGATAAAAATCAATATTATTCGATTCTGACAAATGGTCTAATGTATACCTATCTATTTTTTATTCATTCCGATTTTGTTTGTTTGTTTTCCAGCGGACCAGCACGTAAATTTATGCAATAATAATAATAATAATAATAATAATAATAATAATAAAAAATAATAATAATAATAATAGTAAAAGTGAGAGCAGCAAAATTACATATGGCTGGATAGGAACGGCGATCTGAACGGAACTGTGCAAAGGACTAACGTTTCATTCCAATATTTGTATATATACCGTTCAGAAGTTTTCTTAGAAAACAAATAATGTAATCTTCTATAGGACAATAAAATTTCTAATACATTCAAACTCGATGAGAAGAAAATATGGTAGCGAATATTGCTATTACGAGTGACAACCAAATATATATTTTAAAAAAATCAGAAATTTAAAAAATATCTGTTTCTTGCAAGAAAATAGAAATGCTTAGAAAATAAATACACCATTTCGCCCTTTTGAAACACTTGCTAAAGATATATACAATTAAACATTGGTAAAAGAACCGATAATTCTTTAGGAAAGCATCATCAAAATACTGATAGATTCTTGAAAGTCCTGAGGAATGTATTTGGACAAAAGATTCTTGCTGTCTCTTAGTCTCTATCAAGAACAGACAGAAACTGTGCTGAGATCATGGAAACAACAACAACAACAACAACAACAATAATAATAGTAATAATAATAGGCAAATATCCGGAATGGATTAAACGGAAACGCTTATTG